GGGAAAGCTGCAAGCCACCCAGCAGTAGACTTCTGTGTAGATCCAACATCACCCCAACCATATACTGGGCGTGTACTATACTCCCAACGGGCTGTCTTCACTGTTTCTACATAAGTTGACCTATAATTAAAATCCGTGTCAAGTACTAATAGCATCAGGGAATGCAAAACTTCAAAAGCAATCGAACTCCCACCTTCCATCATCCTGAATAAAACCTTGATTCCAAAGGGGAGTGACTTGAAAACCTTCCAACACTCTATCATTAAATTCCTAAGCAAAATGACCAAAAACAAAGCAAAATTATAAAAAATAGAGAAGGCATGTATCTGAAAGCCAACTATGACATGATGACAGATATAAACCATTTTTGGGTGGTTTACAATTGTTGGAAAATTAAGAAACAAAGTCACCGTCGCAATTTGCAAGAAAGTCAAGGACTTACCAACAAGAAAAACCAAGGTCCAAGATAGAAACAAAACTGATGCCACTGAAAAACTATCACTTGAAGACTTATATTTTGAGTTTAGGCCTAGTTTACCCTCTTTAGTGGGTAGGCAAGAGTTGTTTTTCACTTATATTATGATTATATCAACAGTCAATGAAATATCTTTAACATATCGTCACCAACGAACTGGACGACACTAATATAAAGTTTGAGTGACCATACATCTAAGATGATACGATAATAAGAGATTTAATAGTCCTAACAGCAACTACTAGAATAGACTCTAGTTTTAACTTATTTGAGTTTAGATGTACCACACCCAACAAGCTAGTTCATGAGGTGAAGGTTACCTCCTACTTATATACAATTCTACGTTCACATTATGGTTTTCCAACACAAAGTCAAGGAAGCATATAATAAAAACAGTGAACATGTCGGGGGAATACCTTACGTATAAACTTCAACAAGGAATATCCATAAAATATTCTATTTTTATGTTGACCATGAGACTGAAAGATAGAATATAAACCTGAGGCGGAACCTCCTTGTTTGGAGGCTTGGAATTTGGGTTGGGCACGAAAGTGTTCCCCAAAATCAGTTCTTCCCTGTCTAAGCATTTCCAAATTCAAATCCAAAGAATAAGATAAGTGAAAAAAAAAATAAGAAGAAAAAAATCGAAAGAGCAGAAACTAATCCTTACTTCCCCAGAAGAATTGCGATTCGGGAGAGTACTGACAAATATACTTGTCATCAGCACCAAGAATTTGGGCTCCGACACCGGTAAACCTGGGCCCATATTGGGCCTGTTCGAGCGGCGTCAATGGCTTCCGAAAGGAGGGACTCTCGACGGAATACATGAAGCAAAAACTCTGCCTCCGTTCCGGAATGGAGACTTTGAAGTACCATCCCTCGAAGAATTTGCGAGTAGTCCCATCGAAATGGTACCTAATTATAGATTAATTAAAAAATGGGAACACTGAAACGGTTAATTGAAGGAGGGAAATTGAAATACCCGCTGTGAGGGGTTCGAAGGTCTCGGTTGGGAGGAGTGGGGGAGTAAGTGGGTTTCACTTTAACAGAAGGCCTTGCTTGTTCCGTGTTTTCAACAGGAACGATATCGGAGACGGAACTGTGAGCTACGAGGCGCGTGGTTGGAGTTGTTGAGGGAATGTGAAGTTTGAGAGAAGGAAGAGGGAGACGAGGAAGAAGAGGAAGTGCGGGAAAGAGCAGAGGAGGGTCCCAGAGCTTGGTTTCCATCTTAAGGTGCATTCGCAAGAAGAGAAAACAGTGAGACTTCCTTTAAAACAAAAAAAAAAACTGAAAGAACACGTTACACGTCACTCCTGTTGTAGCTGTTATATGATTTGATAAGATTATTATGCATGGATGACACGTCTTAAAACTTTTTTTCTTTTTTATTTTTTTTCTTTATCATATTATTAATGAAAACACATATGATGATAAAGCGTATCTACATATTTTTTATAATTAATTTTAAAAAAAATTGGCTGGACTCCAACCAGTAATAAGAGAAGTTATATAAACAATCCATTTGCATGCATGTAATTTAAAGTTGTTGGAAATTAAATAAAGAAAAGTTACCATCGAATTTATTCATATAAATTGTTACAAGATATGATGATGTTTAATGGAACACTACGATGAAAATGTGGTAAATGACAATATCATATTGGACATTTCCGCTAATAAGACAAAAATAAAATTAGAGGAATCCATAGTTGAAAAATTGGAAACTCATAAATTTGTACATTTTTCTCTAAATAATATTTGGTATAATAAATATGATCTTAAGGGTTAAAAATAAATATGTTCGAATCTTAAATACAATCACGTTTAATTTTTGATACAAAATTTTATTTTAATATTTTTTAAGTGAACTCAACTTTACTAAAGATACCTTTTGAATTTGTTTCAAACATAATGTATAATGATCTTTTATATCAAAATTACTTGATCTTGACTAATAATTTTGAGATTAAATAATATAATATTAATAAATAATAAATAAATATAATATATTTAATAATCATTAAGTTAAGAAAAACAAAATATACATAAAAAAATTTAAAAAAAATTTAAAAAAAAAGTAACAACCCTCTCAACTTTCAAAAGGTTTTATAAAGATCATTAGAATCTATTTTAATCAACCTTTTGTATTAGTTTAATTTTGCTTATAATATTAGCATGTGTTATATCTATAACATGTTAAGCAAGATTAATAAAATTTTCACTTGTTGCTCTAAAGAATAATAATTAAGAAGTTTAAAACAAAATATATTATCTATTGTTTGCTTATAAATGACATCTAGTTTTATTCTCTTCAATTGCATAAAAGGATACAATAAAAAAAATATCAACACGAAATAAAAAAGTTTTAAGTCATAATTGACTTGTTCTTGTTTCTTTTTACCTTTTGCTTGCCTATTTATTATATTTCTTTTATGGTTCTCAAATGTAAACATTGATATTTATAGATTCATTATATAAGATATTATGTATAATAGTTATTGCCGTCTAATAAACATTATACAACTATATTTAGTGATTTTATTGTTTACATAAAGTTACTTGAAATTTTCAAAAGATATTTAATAACTAAATAAGGAAAATAATTAATAATTTTCCTTTTGTAAGCACCATCTTTTCTTGCAATAAGTTTATAGTTATTAGTGGATATGTGTATTAATATTCTTTAGGTGACAAATATCTATATATGTTTACCTATGGATGTCTAATTATTTACTTATGGATTTCTATTCTATTATTTAAAATTTCTAATATAATGTCATTATTACATATTTATGATGTTTCACTAAACATCAAATCTAGAAATAAAGTGTGAATTAGAGTGACTCTTTGTAATCATAATATATTCCTTTCCACATTTGTAGTTTTAGATTTCCAAAAATCTTTACAATCTTGTGAAAGATCAAATTCTGGTGTTGGAACAGGCAATGGAATCTAGATCTTCTATTGTAACTGCTAATTCACCATGTCAAAAAAGAAATTCCAATTATCTAATTAATAAATGTTTAACTCTTTTTATATGCAATTTTGATTTCATAGTTTATGAATGCCATTAAATATAAATGAAATACAAACTTCAATAACTACATGGTACATGTAACTAGCCATTCAGAAAAATAAATAATATATATATATATATATATATATATATATATATAATTACCATTTATTTCTTATTTTTCTTGTGGACATAAATCAATAATCCCAAATAATACTTGTCCATTAACAATATATCATATCATGATACATATTCATAAAATTTTCACCTTAAAAAATTTCAATATGCAATGTTTGCAACATAGAAATAGTATAAATTTTTGAAAAATATTCTAAAATATTAAACTAGTATACTAAAAAATATATATTTTTATACTACCAAAAGAAATATGGAAAATACAAAAAAAATATAAATAAACCCATATAAGTTATTAAGATTGTAAGCACAAATCACTTTAGTGCCTAACCTTCTCAAAACTTTGTTTATCTGCCTTTGCAAAACTCAGACACTTTTAGTTCTTAATATCAATGTAACATGAAGTTAAAAAAAAGGATATTAAAGTGAATAATATTTTGAAAACTATAGATTAATAAGGATTGAGAAAATACAGGACTAAATTAACCCATGTCCACAATCTCAATAACTAATGTGGGTGTTTACTTGAAAACAAAATCATAAAATAGAAAATGAATGCAATTTGGCATGACTTCAGGTGAAAAAAAAATCTCTATATTTCATTAGATATAGTAGTTTGAAACTTCAAATAAATATCGAGCAACTATATCAGTTGAAAAAATCACTATCTACCATTATATGTATTAGTTAGAATAAGTGATCACTGATATAAAAGAAAATAATATTAACCTGTGGTGGATTTGTTTCGACTCGAGTGGTGACATATTGATGTAATGGATAAGCTTAATTATTTCACCATTTCCTGTGGTGGATTTGTATTTCATTTGGTGAATGGATTGTCATTGAAACCTCTATAAGAATGTCCTTGCTTTAGTATTGGTAGATTTTAATATGCAGAACTACCATGTCTTTTCTCAACTCAACCCCCTCTTTGCCTCCATATAATATACAAACTAATGTGATATACCCCCAACTTCCTAATCGCAAGCCAAAAATCCAGATTGATCATTTTTTAACTTATTTAGGTCAAATTATAGTTAACAGATTATTGATTTTAAACCTTGGAGTGATTTGATGGTACACAGTCTTATCAACAAGATTTCAAAATTGTCAAGATCAAGATAACACAGAATAACAATATATGATAAAAGGGATCATTGTAGTGTATACAAAGATCGAGAGGACCAAATTTATTTTTATCAGAGCACCAACAGTGACTACCAACAAGATTTTCAGATTTGTCAAGATCAAGATAACACAGAATAACAATATATGATAAGAGAGATCATTTGGGTATACAATGATAGAGAGGAAACCAAATTTATTTTATCAGAACACCATCAGTGAACCACACATTACTTTTCCAGTCAAAGGCTAAATGGTAGGCTTATAGTCGATCACAATCACTTTCTCCAAGCTGGGAAGGAGCACATTTGCATATTCAACATGGGCAGGATGGGCCACATACTCTGCAATGCCTTCTGTACTCTCAAAGGTTGATTCAAAGACATGAGTGAAGCCTTGATGCAGGTTTTCAGCACTTACATCCTTGCCCCTACAATACATAATTCAGTTATCAGCATTGGATATATATTGTTTTGAAATGTTTTAATTAAGCCACTAGAAGGGGTTTAGACGCAAATGTTTGGAAAATTGGATGCAATAAAATCTTGAATGCCATTTCTCAATCTATACAAGTACCACCTATTCTAACAGGATATAATTCTTTTAACACAATCCAAAATTCTATTCATTTAGGCCTTAATTGTCCACTAAAATTGTAAATTTGCTAAAAAAACATTCCTGGATCAAACTTAACTCTTAGACAAAGGATCTTTAAGAAGCAGGAGTTTTGTCATGTACAACAACAGATTGGACAGTTTCGAAGTTGGAGATCAAGGAAACTAATACCAACATCACAAATTCAGAAAATAGTCAAAAACTCTCTTAAGAAGACAAAACCAAGCAATCGTCACTTAAAAATAATAAGCTGAACCATGCATGCATCTCCCTAATATCATACTCGCTTGTATAAATAAAATAACAATTAACAAGAGACCCTACAACGCAAAAAAGGCAGAGACCTTGTTCTGAAACCCTGCAATTTCACCGATGGACTTATTTAATAATCTCAGCAGAAATTACCATAACCATTTCTGAATACTACAAACAAGCACAACCTCCACTGGATCAAAATGTAGCAATAAATAAATTGGAATTCAACCCAACCCAAATATATTCCACTCTGTTCATCAGTACTCATCACTTTTTCTTCAGCTATAAGGGGGAAACCCATTTTAATCTAGTTAATAAAAATTCAATCTTCTTGCCCAATGGGTTTAGATTTTGCAGGCCCTGTTCGCATTCAATGAATAAGAAAATGTAGTTTGCCCTGATCCAAGTGGGTTATTGAATTGGAAGTGTGAGAAAGAAAAAGAAAGAGATAAAATGAACAAGATAGCATACCAATGGAATGACTTCATGGGTGGGATGAGATTGACTAGGTTGGCATAGTCCTTGATAAGCTCTTCAACCCTCGCAGGAGGGATGTCGTCCTTGAACTTTGCGATGAGCAAGTGTTTCACTATTCCCTTTGCTTCCCCCATGTCCTCTCATCCACAGCAACAACTGTTCGCCCCTGCTCACCCTCTATATATCCATCTCAACAAAATGGAAAAATAAAATAAAAATTATTGAATTATCAAAGTCTTCACACACATAAATTGTTTTTTTTTTCTTTTTTACTATGCACCTATATTTATACCAGTGGTATATTTTTTTATATGTCATTTTATTAATAATTTTATCATTTACTATATTAAAATATATTTTTTATTTAATAAAATATATATCTTCTCTACTCGAAGTTAACCCTTATAATCACCAAATAATTCTTAATAGGACATTTTTTTATCATTATATAAAAAATAATTATAATAGTTTTTTTATCATTTTTAAATTAAATAATTTTATTTTTATCAAATTAAAATAACTTCATTATTACAGAATACATAATTGTACAATTTCTCTACTCAATATTAGGTCTTCTAATATCAAATATTTTATTTCGTCATACAATTCTTTTAAAAATATTTTAGTAAAATTTATCAATTTTTTTTAGAAAAGTTGTATTTTAAGATTATATATATTATTTAAAATTAATAAAAGTATATACATATAAGTTGGAGACAAGTGTTTTAAGTAGTTATTCATATTTCTTCTTCTTTTATGAAATCTTGATGAAAGATATTAATGACTCTAAAAAAGATTAATATGGAAAAAAATAGTTAATCTTAGTAAAATATTTTATTAATTTATGATAGAAGAAAATGATGATATATGATAATTGTATTTTTTTTCTTGTTCTATCTAGTTTTAATCATCAAGTTATTACACTTAAAAGTTTAAATAGGTTCGTAAGAGTTATGCAAATTCCATTCATACCTATTTCTTCATATCTATTTCTTATGACGCATGTTTATATTTTATTTTTTAATTTATTTAAAATATTTAATTCATATGATTATTGAATATTTATTTTATTTTGTTATTTTTACTTGACATAAAAAAATTAAATCAATCTTAATTATTGATATTTCATCTTTAAACATAAACAAAGACTTAAAAACCTAATTCTTTAAAGAAAAAAAACTACAATAGAATAAAAAAAAAACTAAAATTTAAGACGTATAAAAAAAATTAAAAAATAAAACAAATAGGAATAATGAATGAAAGAGTAGAGGAGGGAGGGAGACACGTGAATAATAAAACCAAAAAGATATGAAATGAGTTGCAACCCGCGGGGAAGGAATCTTACATTTTATATTTATATATTATGAAAACTGAATTATATATATAAAAATTATCATTTGAATAAACTAAAAATAATGATTATGTAATTAATTAGATAATGAAAATTTCTAGTCAAGATGAATTAGAAGTAACAATATACTACAATCTTTCACCTAATTGTAAACATACATGTCGGGAAATCTAAAAATAAAAAATGTGAAAGATTTGAAGACCATGAAGCAAATAGTTACTCTTATTCACCTATATTGTTTCAAGAGTTGGTGTTAAGTGGAACATTACCATGAATACGTGGTAAATGTTTGAATAGACTGTACATTTAAGTAATATGACAATATTAAAAGTTAGAGGAGCCTTGAACAATTAGAAATTAATAGGTAAATATATTTGTACATTTGTCTTTTAAAAAAAATATTAAATATAACAAGTATGATATCAACATCTTAATCGATAATGTTAACTTAAGTTGAAAGTAAGAATGAATTATTATAAGATATATCAAATGATGATTCTCCATCAGATCCATGAATATTTGAATTTTAGATGCAATCACATTTAACTTTTAATAATTTTAATATTTCTGAGGCACATTTATGAATATTTATGAATTTGATTTAAGTGTAACGTGTAATGATATTTTATTATAAGTTTATTATAATTTCTTCTTATTAATATTTTGATTAAATAAAATGATATTAATATATATTCTATTTAAGGTTATTAAAATAGACTTAGTTCGATGAATTTATTTGAATGATCTAAAAAATAAGTTAAGTTAGACAAATGAAATTGTAGCTTAAATTAAATCAGATTTATTTTTATTCAACCTATTTTGATCATAACTTACATGAATTTAGGTCAAGTTAATCATAAGTTGAAGGATAGATTAATTTTATAAAATAATAATTATTTTTAAATAAAAATAAAATAATATTATTTTATTAATATATATATATATATATTATTTTTATAAAAAAATTATAACAATGATTAAACTCGGACAAGTCGGTCTAAATGACTGTCACTCATTCTAAGAATCAGTTTTTAACAATCACTTATTCTAAGATATAATTATTAAGATTAATTATTATTTTAAATTACTAAAGAAATAATGATAATAAAAAATAAATTTTTAATTCTTATTTTGAAACTAATGAGATGTATTTTCTTGTAATTTATATATTAAATAATTATATCTTAAATAAAAATTAATTTAATTAATAAAATATAAATTTTTATTTAAATAAATTTTTAATTAATTGATTTGATATAAATATGATAATATTTTTTTAATTTAATCAAACCAAAATTGGTTAGTTAACTTAGTCAGTTGGTTATAAAATCAAGTTAATTGAAAATTTTTGCCCTATTTTAAAATAAAACACATTGAATCGTCAAAATTTTTTTTATGAAATCCATAAGACAGATGAAGTTAAGTTGTCCAATCCATTTTAATAGTTCAAATTACGTCTACGATGAATTAGATATGACTAATAAGGTTTACACTTATTCCATGATATATGAATTAAGAAGATTATTTTACTTGCAATGAAATTTAACTCTATCTCTTGGATTACTAAAAAGGATACATAAATAAAAGGAACATTAACATGAAAGAAGAAAAAATTATTGTCATTAATAACTTATATTATTTCTTTTTATCTCATTAAGAGTTTTGCTCTATCTTTTTCTTAAACTTCTATGATTGCAAACAACGGTATTTATAGGTTTATCTTGTAAGATCTTAGACATAGTAGTTGTTGCTTAGGTATAGTAGCATTCAAAAACTATTATACACCTAGATTTAGTAATTTTATTATTAACATATAATCATAAACTTGAAATATTAAAAAAATGTTAACTAAATAAGAAAAAAATTAATAATTTTTATTTTGTGAAAACCATCTTTTCCAAAATTGTTAAGATTAATTATTTCTTTTTCTAAAAAATAAATAGAATTTTATAAAATGGACCTATAAATATCATTGTTTATAAATGAGAATCATACAAGAAGCCTAAGATAAAACAAAACGTTCAACGAGGGATAAAAAGAAATAAGAAGAAGCCAAAAATGACTAAAAACTTTTCTTCTTAGTGTTGGTATTCGTACATTTTGTTTTAATCTTCTTAATTTATATCCTGGTGGAACATCAAATGCAAACCTTATTGTATTACCCAACATGTCCTTGATGTAACATACACTAATATCACCACCATAACTAAAGTAATGATGAGGTTGATTAATGATCTTGAGACAAGAGATCATTACACATTATGCTTGAATCAAATTCATAAATGTGCCCTTAGTAAAATTGAATCCACTCAACAAGTATTAAAATAAAACAATTTACCAAGAGTTAAATGTAATTTATTCAACACATTGACGAAGAATCATCATATACATCATTTATATACATTGGTTTACTCATCCATACACAAACTCAAGGTTATCAATTCGAGTAAAATAAGATGAGTTTATCTCAATTAATTTCTTTAGTCTTAAGATTCCCACGAAAACTAATTATGAGTTTGAGAACGTGTTTGGCCACACTCGGGGCTCCTAGAAAAAATATCATGTAGTAATAGACAAGCACACAACCACAAGTTTCAAATGCAGTGAAAATTGTTAAATATTTTCACATTCAAAATTCCTCTCATAATTTTACACGAGAGCAGTGGGGTCAATTCAAACGTTCCTGCCTCTGCGACGAACTCTACAAAAATCCAAAATGTGCCACAAATGTGGAGTGGACTACTCGTAGAAACTATATATAATAATTTTCATAATGTACAAATTGTTAGAGGGAAAAATGCACCATTAATTAATGGAGTTTTTCACAAGAAACAATCGTGCCACCGCGTGACAGAGTGGTAGTCATTCACTGTTACACAGAATATCTGAGTATCTAACCACTGGATCAGTTGAAGATAAATAAAAAAGCATAGCAGGCCACCTCCAATTCTTTATAATATCTTCCCTGCAATGCAGAATGCTGAAGTAAATTTCTCAGAAGAAATGCATGAATGTAATGCTCAAACTCTGGATTTATTTGAGATATGACCACACAAGTTCAAAACATAGACAGCATTCAAGGTATGGAGGTGACCAAAATATCTCCTCACACAATTTTAACCTCCCCCAAATTGGAACATTTGGTGGGGAGACAAGTTTTATATTAATTAGGTTAAATTATCTAACTAAAATGGGTTTATTTGCCCATTCCAAGGATATAATAATAAGTTATTTATCTGGGATTGATCTCTAAGAAGTAGCTTTCATTATATTATTTGTCTCCCCAGCCTTTCTTTTGGGTGTGTTGCCCATATTTCTTGGATCTTTGTCATTGCCTCACAACATCATCTCCGCTAAGGCCCAACCTCCATGAGTCCCATCACTTGGGATTAATTGAAGGAAGAATATGGAAGAGATAAAAGGATCTGAAGCATGCAGGTATTGAATTTAACAAGAGAGGTTGAATTAAAATGAATGAAAGAATCTAAGACTACCAAATAATATTTTGGCATTGCTAATAGGGTACGATTATTGGGCAATGAATTCTTAATTCCATAAATGTATGAAAAAGATCTTGCAACTATACTTGTAAGATATGGAACTTTTACAGCCACCTTAGAGAACACAAAGGGTCTTTGTAAAAGACTTTGAAAGAAATGTTAAATACATTCCAGGCACTAGAGCATGAGGGTTATGAGGCAACATGGAACTGTGGAGAGTGTTTTTCAAGCCAAATTGAAAAACAATGATGACAACAATAAAAAGGTGCAAGTCTAGTATTTTGGAAATAGCAACCAAAGCAATAACACAAGCTTTTCCACCAAGACCTTACTGCAAGAAAACTAATTATCAACAAAAGAGATGTTGGTAGGAACCTAACCACGATGTTCCAAGTATGATCAATTAAGACACATGAAGAAAATGTCTTAAGTCTCATCAACAAGGAGAGGCCAAGGTTGCTGAGAATCAACTAAAAGAGATACAATTTTTTTTTTAAATTGTTCATTTGAAATGTTCTGAAAAACTAATCATATGTTCTTCTCTCCATTTGAACAATGGGGTCATTAATTTGCAACCGCCAACCTTACAAAATCTTAGTTTATTGATAGTGGTTGCACAAACAATGTGACTTAATTATCTTTTCAAAGAGCTCAACAAGGCTACAATTTTCAAAGTCCTAACTGGAATGCAGAACATATAGGCAAAGAAACAATTGCAATTAAAAACTACTCGATTTTGAAAGTAATCTCCAATGTTTTATACGGTCCTAGAATTAAGTGAAATCTTTAAGAATTTCTCAACAGTGACAATTTCTTTTCCTATCTCAATGGAGTTTCTTCTTTCTTGGTCATTCAATATTCCAACTGATGTGAGCATGAATAAGGAAGAAAGGATTCAACAATTACAAGAAAATTACTAAAAGCAGAGCTAGGGAGCTTGAGGAGCTAAGGAAAACTAGAAAGATGATTAGATTAGAAAATTACTCTTCTCCTTGAAAAACATATAAAGTTTTCTTTTGTCTTAGTACATTTTATAAATAAGCCTCTTGTTTGGACAAAGGAGTCGTAAGATGTTGGCTACAACTTTAGTTCTAGAAGTGTTTGATTTGTAGAATAAGAATGCAAGTGATTGGCAAACCTAATAGGTAGCTTACATGGGAAGCTTTGTTCATTTCGGTGACTATTATGCACCTACGTAAGCTAGGAAGAATCTAGAAAATTTTCTAATCTTATTTTAAAAGTTAATTTTGTGGCTCTCTTCTATAGAAGGAGAGTCGCACTTCATTGGAACACAACATTGGATTCATTTAAAAGAAATTGAAAGGTTTCTAGAGAGAAATGAATTTCTCCCTTCTTTGAATTTGATTTTGAGTTTTCTATATTCAAGTGGCAATTCCTCATTTGCACCAATCTTGAGTCTCATGTAGAATGCTTCTTCAACTCTTAATCTCCATCCATGTTTTTCAATTGGTTATTTAGTTTCCTTTTGTTCTTGGACTTAAACCACAGACATCATTACCTTGTTTATTCATTTTATTCATCTTGTTCTTATGCTCTTGCTTGTGTTTCAATCTAGTTATATAACTCATTGTCTATTCGTGTATATTGCAATAGGAACTTGATTTTTATGGTTCAAATGGTTGAATCTCTTTCTATGATCAAGATAACATCAACAATGGAGAGAAATCAATATTTGTTTGATTGATTCTGATCCTTGACCATAGCTTGGAAGATCAAACCCATTTATGGGTTTCATCACCAACAAACACTTTGGACTCGTGATAATTCCAGTCATCTTGCAAATCTATCTTTGAACAATTTTATCTCTTCAACATCTCCACCATCCCTTTTTTGCCTCCATCTATGTTTTAGATTCTGTTTCAATTTTTTTGTCTTTTATTGTGTTTATTATAGCAAGCTTAAAGCTAAGTAAGGTTTAACTTTAGGAGGAGTATTAGGACATTTTAAACAAATCTCATGATATCTTTATTGCATCTTAGAATATAAATATTGATTTTGATAAGGAATCTGGTATTAATATAAATAGAGGTTAGAGCTCTGATTTTAGTAGTATTATGTCTGTCTATCAACACTAATTCCAATTTACTAACTTGTGCCAGCTTTATTTCTTTTCCCTCTTGTCCAATCCAAATCTTTTGTTATCAACAGTTTCAATTATAAAAGATAAAGTTCAAGCATTTTGGGTCACAAGGCCATATTATTGAGCAGCATCTAGTTTTTTAATAGGATTTTAAAAAATGGAAGAATAAAAAGGTGGTTTCATCAATGCCATGTTTGATATCATATGTGCAGGAATAGCAAATCATCCTACTTTAATAAATGAAAACTTAATTTCAGCAGGATGTTTTACTTAGATCTGACAAACAATCACTTCTATTACCGAAATTTTAACATTGTTCCAAACATATATTGGTAAAACTTGAAATATAAAGTGCAGGAGAGTAGTTGATTTTAAAACAAACCAAACATGGGCTATAGAAGTAAACGATATTAAAGATTTCACTTACAGCCAGAAAGAAAATTTGCTGCTCTTATCTTCTTCATCCAGGATTTCACACAATTGGAAGCTGCAAAATGGCATCCAGGTTGTTCTTTACAGTCCTTTTTTGCGGATAGGACGAATAAGATGCTTCGAGATCAATATGCCAGACCATAACACTCGAGCAGTTGTCCATTAAACCTTCCATTTGACTTTCATCTTCAATCAACTGCTCAATTAATGTGCTGACCTGCATATAGAAAAGCAAATCCACCATTGATAAAGGCATAATATAAGGTTGCATGGTTCTGAATGCTACATTTTTCTCCCCTCCTCATTGTAGAAAGCCATGAGGGCATATAGAACAATGCCAACCACTTATTAATGTCACCTAATCTGATTAGATATGTTTTTCACAATTTGGATCAGATACAGAAAATGATATGTTACATAATATTAGATAAAATCAGCAAAATAGAAGATATATGAATTTACTAACCCACAAACTTTCCTTGACTGTGTCAAGTTGCCTGATAGGTTCCAGAGTGGGACGATGCCACTTCTTTGGATCCCAGAGTATTGTGCTATTGAAGGCAAAACCCGGCATTTCAGCATGAAATCTTTTAGATTTCCCATTTGACTCATATGTATGCCATCCAATTACTTGACTTCCATTACAGATGGGTCCTTGCAAGACAATACTACTTTTATCCCCCGTTAATCTTGCCACAGTCCATGTTCCAAATCGCCTGCAAATCAAAATGAAGATATATCCCAACTAATAAATGAAAAAGCAAAATAGTTGTAGGAAAGGTGAATATGCTAGAACATTCTGCATAACCCAGTTTGATTAAAGAGTGAGAGATTCATAACAGAAACATTACCACACAAGGTTCATCACTGTTCATTTTCTACACATGCACAAATATATACACATTATATTCTTAATTTTTCAAGGTGTTTTGATTTGAAAAAACTATCTATTTTAGACAATAATTTTCAATTTTGTATGATAATATTTGTATTTTAGAGACATTTTAGTGGCGTTTGTCATAATAATCACACCCGTCTTAGGGCCAGTGCTGATTTGTCATATGATTCTAAACCAAAGGAGATGAGGGGCAGGGGTTTCCTATCATTTGAAATTCTATCAAAATAAATGCATGCATGATTGATAGAATTTGACTGCTAAAGTTGCATTAAAAGTAGGGAATGACCACCATTCTGACATTACTTTGCACAATGCAGAAGACCTTTGCAGATGCAACGTATCTAGAAAATAGGTAGTGTGTATCTCAGGAATTGACAAAAATTTAAAATGTCACCAAATAAATCAGCAACACTTGTAATGACCCTCCCCACACCCCTCCTTCAATAGGTTAGACAGAAAAAATTTGATCCATGTGGCCATGTCTCTTATCCTTAAAAAATGACAATCAGAAATCATAATAAGTTATAAATGAAGGTTTAGTTGCAGTTATCCTATTATCCATGTAGCCTCCATACATTACTTATAAGAAGCATTTGACTATAAATTGCATCAGCGCAGCTAAGGTGTGCAAGATAAGGAGAAAGAAGCAACGACCTTATTTCTCGCATTTGCTGAAAGAGCTCCACTGAGTAGATGTTATCATCATCTGCAAAGTAAACAATCCCATCAAGACGATGGGTTTCGATATGAGCCATTGCAACATTTCTTTGAAAAATGCTCCTATGGCTTGGGTTGGTTATATTCGCTGTACAAATTAGATGCCTGTACATAACCCCACTACTCCTTAAGATGTCAGCAGTTTCTTCAGATTGGGAAGTCACCTCAATAACAATCCACAACAAGGGAGGTGAGACCAGTTTTAAAGTTTGTGACAAGCGGTGCAAGTAATATGCTTGAAATAGATGATTGTATGTTGGAGTGACAATTATGAGAAGCTTTTGAGACTCCACATATGAATGTTCACTGATTTGGCTATTGGATATATTATATGACTCTCCATCTATTAGATCTGGTTCTTTCACAGCTACATACAAAGAAGCATTAAAATTCACAGCCTCATTGGTTGATGGTGTCACATTTAACGCTGCATTTTCAAGCTTCTGGAAATTCCCCACTGCAGATATTACCTCGAAGGAGAAGGCTCGATGTTTTGGCATGAGATTTATTGACATGTGTGTTGATGCAAGTGGAATGAGTCCAATGGAAATACCAACCATGAAACAAATGAAAAAATGGAAAAGCACCTTCCTCCAAAGCTGGCCCCTTGGCTTTGATCTCTCAAAACCCCTGAAACACCTCGGCGAGAAAGCACCAAACACAAAAGCACGATAGTCCAATCCAACTGAAGGTGAGAAGTTCTGAGGACTCGACGATGACTTACACAATGGAGAAGCTACTGAACAGACTTCCACATTTGCTACAGTTCCAGCTCTAGCAACCGGGGACAAGGTTCTTCGAATAGATGCCATAAAAATCTAAACAAATGTTTAGTAACCCCAAATGATCCCCTTGTGTACAAGAATGGCAGGAACGTATCAAAATTCCAAAACAATCATAAACTTTTTGTCTTTCAAAGCCAAAAACAACAGTTGTCATGACCTATTGGCATTCACCAAGAGCTTCAGGAAGACCATGTTATAGAGCCAGAGGTGCAAACCAAAGCTGGCATAACAAAACAATGTAAGCGAAGTATCAGGTTAAGCACTTAGACAAAGTAAATTGCCAGCAATCCTTCCAAGAATACATCAGTAAGCCATCTCAACTCACACAATATCTGCAAAACACATTTCAAGATGCATAAATAAAAACACCCCAAGTGTCTATATATTAAACGAACCAAAATGACCTATTAAATAATAAAGAGGAACCATCAAGTATCTTATTCAAGATAGCATTTTTAGCAACTTAACAATTAACCTGGGAGTGTAAAACAAGTTACCGAAATGACAGCGATGCAATATGGAGCGGCATGAATGGTCCAACTTTCCAAACAACTGGGGGAACTGAAAGGGAAGAATTTTGCACTGCAGAGTTTTACCCTTCTGCTGCAACTAGTTATATGGTCGAGGGTGAGTCAAGCTAACAGAGATTCAGGAATCTGTCTTGGTCTTAGATCTAAACGGAAGGAACTCCAAACATATTAGAATACAAATCCTTGAAAAACACAAATAAGGTAAAGCAAAGGAAAAAAAGATAAACAGAAAGACAGAGACAGTGATATGTCGAAATGTTTCTTTAAATTTTAAAAGAAAATTAATACCGCTTTTGTCATGCGATCGACGATGCCAATGGGACAGGAAAGGAAATATAATAAAAATAGAAAAACAAATCTGTAAAAAAAAAAATTGTAAAGATTTGCAATTATTAAGGTAATCCCTATGAAAATCTAATAAAGTCATGGAATTGTAATTTTTATATTCAAAAGGTCAAAATTTTCATTTTTTTTAATTTAAATAATAAATGTGTCATTAATTTGTATTTTTGCTCTATTTTTTTCTTTCTTTTCATCTAAAGATACTTTCTCATAGTATAAAGTAAGGTGAATGGTTAGATGAGCTTGGTCACGTTCTGGAAAAAATTTAATCGGAATCAAATTACATATATTTGATTTTAAATATAATGTAAAATAGTTTACTGATAACTCATTATATTGTGATATTTTCTTATTTTTTATATTTATTTTAATTAGTATTTTTAGCTTTATTATTTGTTATTAGTAATTTTTTATTAATTAAATTTCATTAGACTAATCATTCAAATTTTAATTAATTTGAATTTATTTGATCTAATTTTTGTTTATTATTATTTTTATGACCGTTTAAAGAAATTTTGAACTTTAAATATTAGGTCAGATGTCATGTCAGTTGTTCATTAGGATAAAAAATTTTATCTTATTTGTTTCTAATGTGTTTTATGAGCTAGTTGGAACTAAATCTAAATTAATATTAGGTTCAGGGTTATTTATATGAGTGATCACGTAGGGTTAAAGGAAGAAAAGAGGAAAAGAAAATGAAAAAATTAGGTTTTCGCAAGGAGGTGCGGCTACTACTCCAATGTTCAATTTTTCTTCATTTGGATTATTGTAATGATCATCATGAGTGACTAACTTCATTCTATTAGGATTGATTGTACTTTCTCTGAACTCTTTTATATCTTGGTGATATTTTGAGATATTAATCTATATTCTTGATGTTATTATTCTTATCATTTGTGTCTTTTAATGCTTTTATCCTTGATGTTCTTATATATTGAAAAATATATCTTGAAACCCTTGATTATGTTAACAATATTTGCTACATTGATTGTTAGGAATGGTAATAGATGTATTAAGTGTTTAACACCCTAAACCTAATGCTGAAAAGTCTATTAAATGTTTGAGGAATCTATGTTTACAATGTTTTCTTATGAATTACATGTTTGAGGAATCAATGTGAATGATTTAAGTAAGTAGCATCAACATTGATAGGTTAATTGATGTTATTAATTTGACCTAGGCATTATACAAAGGAGGGAAAAAGAATTAATCTAATCCTAAGTTCTTATAGTTTATCTTTTCTAAATATATTTATAGCTCTTTACTCGCTTATTTTTAACCCAAATATTTATGAAAAACCAATTTTGTGTCAATACATTTAGTAAAGTATATGATTCAGAATTTCCAGTAAAACCATTTCTCGTGGGATCGACTTTTATTTAATTAAAATATTATACCGCAATTGATAATATTAGTACGTTTTCGGGGAACGACGTTCCTTGAAAATTCTTTGTTTAACTTATTAAGCATTTGAATAATTTAATTTTAGTTATTTTAAATTTGAATATTTTATTTTTAGTTATTTTAAATTTATTCTTTTTATTCATTGCCCTGTGCTAATTCTTGCTTTAATTGTTTTTTTATTTATGTTTTTAAGAGGACAGATATTTATAGATCAGTTAGAGTTTGATCCTGAGATTGAAAATGCCGCTCGAAGAAATTGTGGTAAAAGAAGAAGGGATAACAACAGGAGAATCAGTTAACTCTTCTCTCACACTCAACTTACCAGACCCAATCATAGAAGACATGGAGGGTGAAGAAACAAACTCACCTAGAATAACACTTGGAGACTATGTTATGCAACAAGATCAAGGTCCGAGACACTTCTCCAGTATTGCGATACCACCCAACCAATCTTTGGAGATGAAACCAACTTTCTTAAGCTTGATTAGTGCTCATCAATTTACCGGAATGGATCATGATGATCCCTATATTCATTTATCCACTTTTTATGAGTTGATTGACATCATGGGGTAAAGAAGGAGATATTGAATCTGCATATTTGAGATTATTTCTTTTTTCACTGGCTAGTAGGACAAATGAGTGGTTAAAAATACATCCTAATCAGAGTTTGACTAGCTGGGGTAATGTAGAAAATAAGTTTCTGAACAAATTTTTTCCACCATCCCGCTACATCAAGGCAAAATCTGATATTTCTACTTTCAGACAAGGAGCGGATGGATCCTTTTGTGAATCATGGAAGAGATTTAAATCACTGTTAAAGAGGTGCCCAAATCATGGAAGACATTGTCCACTTAAATATTTTCTGCACTGGCCTGAGACCTGATACAAAGATGCTCTTAGATGTTGCAGCAAGAGGAACCATGATGTCTGTGGATGCTGAATATGCTATAAGAATTATTAATGCACTAGCCTCTACAGACCAGCAAGTCCAACATGATAGACATCCAGTTTAGAGAAAAATAGTGTTTGATCTTAGCACCACAGATGTTATCCTAGCTCAGAATAAAATTATGACTCAACAGATTGAAGCATTGACCAAACAAATGACAAAACTGTCTCAACAGATACATGTTATCCAATCCACTTCCAATTAACAAATGAGTTGTGACTTTTGTGGAGGTGATCATCCAAATGGACACTGTTCTTACCAATGCAACCTACAAAAAGAAGAAACTCATTATATAGGTGCTCAAGGTGGTAATGGTCAAGGAAGACAAACAAAATTTCCTAATTCCAACAACTATCAGAACAATTTTTCACAAAGATGGAAAGGGAATCAGAATCAAAACTTTTGGTGGATGATGAAAACAAGGTGTTGGTCCATCTAATAGACAACCTTCATATCAACAACAGTCATATCAGCAACCTCCATATCAACAACAACAATAATATTACTCTCCAGTGCATGAGAGAATAGCCAAATTGAAGGACACTTTGGAGAAATTCATGCAAGCTTCCTTGATTAGTTATAAAAATACGGAGGCTTCGATAAGAAATTTAGAGACCCAGGCGGGCCAATTGGCTAAACAGTTATTTGAGTAGCAAGGAAAACATTTTTCAGCTCACACACAAACCAACCCTAAGGAGCATTGCAAGTCAATAGTTACAAGGAGTGAAAAAGTTATAGGTAAGGGGATTGATAACAATCTAGCTGATAAAAAATATATTTTGGAAAAAGAATACGAAAGATGAGAAGTGAAAAATAATAAAAAGAAACATCTCGTTTTAATAAGAATAACAAAAATAGAGAAGAAAAATGAATAGAAAGAAAAAATAAATTCACTTAACATACAAAAACCATTGTTTTTGAAAATCATATTTTTCAAATTAAAAGAAACTTACACAACCTTTATATATGGTTTAGCTTGAATAATTTCTTTACACTGGTGTACTCCTTGCATGAAAAAGTTTCTTATTATTTATCCTCTTTCTCCTCTAATATTGCCCCATCATCACCATTTCTCCTCTAATTCATTGCTTTCTTACCACACATGTCAGGACTTTTCTTCAATTTATATTCTTTTGTTTTTTTTTTATTTATAACAAACTTGCCTATTTCACCATAGCCAAGTCAATTATTGCAAGTTAACATCTATTTCCACGGGTTATAATGCCACAATTTTTCAAAATATACGTACAAATTTGTTCCAAATTATAGTTGTAAATTAGTAACAGTTTCTAAAAAAAATAAAAACTATTAAAATTCAATATAGAGATAAAAAGAACATATGATTGATAAATATAATGATAATTTTAAGATAGTTAAGAGACTTTTTTTACTAATTGCATAAATTATGTATGAAATGAATCTAAAAAGCAAAGAAGGAAGAATACGATGCATGGCAAAATAACTTTTAAAGCCTCTAACTTATATTTTGTTTTAAATTAGGTATTGTTAACTTCGTCAAGGAAAACTAATAGCACAGACATAACTTATACTACCACATAATTTAAAAAATAAATAAATAAAATTTTAATTATAATATTATGACAAAAAATAAAAATATATTTTAAAAAACTAATAATATAAAATATCTAAATAATACTAGACACATAATAAAGGGATCAATTAAAAAGTTTGTTGGAAATTAAAATAATTTTCTTAATAATTTAAAGAACCAATAAATAATTAAAATAGCAAAAAATATCACTAAAAGAGTAAAAGAAAAGCATATTATTGAAACCTGAAAA